AGAGCACTGGCAGTGCAGCCCCTGCAGGGTCATGGGAGGGTGCCAGGAGGAGAGCTGATGTCCTGCCCGTAGTTCTGAGAACTCGTTAAGCAAGCTGATACCGAGTCATGCTGCTCACATGACACCCCTGCAGTCCTGACCGTCCTGGCTCTCAAGAGTTGCATCTTTTCTCCTGTTGATTCTCCTTAGATCTTAATGGCGTTCATTCTTGTCTTGTAGGTTCTGAAAACACGGATGGCTTTGAGGAAGACAGGACAGTATTCAGGCATGTTGGATTGTGCCAAAAACATCCTTTCCAAGGAAGGAATGGCTGCCTTCTACAAAGGCTACATTCCCAACATGCTAGGAATCATTCCATATGCTGGTATTGACCTGGCAGTGTATGAGGTATGGAGCTGTTAATGCTTCTGTGGGGCTGTGCTGCTTGTGTAGCTTTATCAGTCAGACCAGGCTGTTACTACAGGAGTTTAAATAACTTATCAAAGCTTTTATGATCAGCCTTAAGGGGGCACAGATGAAGCGTTTTAGTCAAATGGCCTAAAAGATAATCCAGTAAGATGGTTTTCCTTTCATAACTGGCACCATGCTTGATGCCATGTTTCTTTTTTGAGAGAATTGCAGCAGCAAATTAAAGGTTTTCATTCTCCCAGGCCCCTAAAGTGGCAGTAACTTAAAAAGATCTGAGAAGCCTGGCTGATATTGCACGTACCTCCCTGGGCCTTTGTACTAGATCTTTTATGTAACTTGTTCTTCTGATTGCATCTTCACTGCTAACATCCAGCTTGTTCCCTCCAGACACTGAAAAATGCCTGGTTGCAACGCTATGCCGTCAACAGCGCTGACCCTGGAGTCTTTGTCCTCTTGGCTTGTGGCACCATATCCAGTACCTGCGGGCAGCTTGCCAGTTACCCCCTGGCTCTTGTGAGGACACGCATGCAGGCCCAAGGTGAGAACTTGGGGGAACTGTGTGTGTTGTGTGAGCTCCTGCCACGGTCTCTGAGCAGGGTAAAGGTCCTCCGGTGCAAACATTGCGACAGCAGCCGTGCTGCCGAGCAGAGGGCTGCGTGCCACGCTGGACAGCGGACTTTGTGCTGTCCTCTGCACTCAGATGCATCTGGGACAGAGCAGCCCTGCTTTCCTCAGCCGAGAGGTTTGGGCTGGTGGCATCTGCAGAGCAGTTTGGGAAGAGGGCTGTGACGTGCAGCGCAGCCGTGGCTCGCTGACGAGTTAGCTGCTCTCCTCAGAGCACCTTTGGTCTGGGAGCATCCGTGGGAGGCGCGTGATGCAGAACTGCCCCGTGAGACAGGCGTTGGCCTCATGTTTGTGTGGCACAGGTCTCCCTACTGATGGCGGCTCTTTGCGTTGCAGCTTCTGTGGAGGGCGCTCCCGAGGTGACCATGAGGGGACTGTTCAGACACATTCTGAAGACCGAGGGAGCGTTTGGCCTTTACCGTGGGCTGGCCCCTAACTTCATGAAGGTGATCCCAGCCGTCAGCATCAGCTACGTGGTTTATGAGAACTTGAAGATGACGCTGGGCGTGCAGTCGCGGTGACCAGGAGATGCCCAGGACTTGGAACTCTGAAACCTTGGGGCTCAATCCCAAGACGTGCAGTCATCTCTCATTCTGTGAATGTGTCGACACTAAGCTGACTAAGCAAAGCTGTGAAATCTCTGATAGTTTGTGAGTCGGGAAGGGGAGGATCTGGTGTCCTTTGCCATCGTGCTGCTCGGAGCTCTGCAGAAACCATCACGTGGTCCTTTCTGTTGGGCCTCTGGGGAGGCTGGGAGCTGAACTCCTGTCCCAGTCTTAAGGCATTTGTTTGAGGTCAGTTCCCAGCAGTATGGCAAAGTAGCAAAGATTTGGGGAACAGTCTGCTTTCAGCATATTCGTGTACAGAGCTGTTTGCCTGCAGATGAGCACCTTCTGACTTGCTGGAAGAGCTTCTTTTTCCATTCAGTTGTTAACTTCCTACCTGTTGTTCAGATTTGTACAAACCTTGTGGAGGAGCTGCTGCCACACCAGGCTTGTCATTATGTTTACATATATTCCTTTGGGTAGGAGATATTCATGTTCTGCTTCCAAGACTTGACATGAAAAGTGATTTTTTTGAACTGTTCTGATTTTGAGGGCTGGTGGGCAGTGGTTTATCCAATCAGGCTGAATGTTACTTAGGCCAGCCTGATGAAGGGTTAGGATTATTTATTTTTTATAGATATAAGTGTGTCTCATAAATCCACTAACAAGATGCACTTACTAACAGAAGCAGCAGCCTAGAGCCTGCATGCCTGTATCCTTTGCATGCCAGACTGGCTTGTCTTATACTCAGCAGGAGCTTGGAAAGGGGAAGGCTGGAGAGCCCTGGGTGGACTGGCACCTCGATGCATGGCTTCAATGACTAAACAACTATTCCACAGCTCCTGTGCAGCTGTGCTCCCAGCACGGCACGAGAGCCCCTGTGCAGCATTGCACAGACCTCTGAATTCCATTCTGCCCGCTGCCCAGGGTGCCTGATGGACCTTTCCAAGCCCCGTGCCCTGCTGCTACCAATCTCTTTAGACCTCTTTGTAGTTTGCTGTTCAGGTTTGCATTAGCAGTCCCCAGGCCAGGAGTCTGTCTGCCACGGGGGGGGGCTGTGAGGGAAGGGCTGGTTGTCACTGGGAGATGTCAGTTCAGTCCTGAAAACACGCTTGCTTTCCTTTCAAAGGGTGCTTTTTGCAGGGCTAAGGGAAAGAGACAGCTTTACAATTTCTCTGTGTTATGGGCTACTTTAGTGGATAGGATCTGGCTGCTGAGGCCTGGGAGATCCTGATCCAACTCTTTGTTTTGGGCAAGATGGACCACCGTTGCATTCCACTGTTTTACTGCTTAAAGCATATTTATTTTGTATTTATTTGAACAGATTTATGCCAGACTATTTTTATAGACTTGTTTAAATATTGTTACTGTGCTTGTATTAAAAAGTTCTCTGTCTGTTTTCATACATCACACAGCTGAGTGGCAGGGAGGGCACTGAAGTCGGTAGCGTCCCTTATCCGGGGCTCTGAGCTGCCTTTCCCCAGCGTGGGGTTGTTGCTGGAGGACCTCAGCCCAGAGAAATGCTGTAGCAGGAAGCCAGGGGAGAGAAGGGAGCTGGTGAGGAAGCAGGGATGAGGGCAGAGGGCGCCGCGGGGGTCGCCTTGCTTGGCATCGCCTCCACGCGTGGCTGAGAGGGTTTGGGGGGAAGATGGGAAAGTAGGTGTGTGAAGGTTGGGGGTCACAGGGGCTGAAGGAGAGCGATCCTGGGAATCTGTGAAGGGGGAGGAGGGAGAAAACTCGGCGACTGAAGAAAACTTTCCATTGAGGTGGGAGGGAATTTGCCCTCGGACCCGAGGTGCTGCAGTGGTGTTTTGGGTCAGCAGATCCTGCTGCTGAGTTTGGTTCATGGGGAGTCTTCCAGATGAGGCTCTGCCTTGACAGTGCTGTCAGCAATCAGCTGTGTGGGAATCCCACCAACCCACATCAGGGGTTAAGAGTTTTTTCACACCTCCCTCTTTCTTTCTTTCCTTTTTTTTTTTTGTTCTAAGATCTATGGTAAATTTTTGCAGTGGCTTCTTCCTACCAGTGTGGCCTAATGAGACAATGAATATCAGAATGCAAAAATCAATGCAAAATGACAACTGTCTTTGTAGCTGTAACCACAAATTGTTATAATGCAAATCTAACTCAGATTCTTCATGTAGGGAACAGTCTGCTAATAAAGGTCTGTCAAAGAGACCCCTCGTGTCCACGTCTCTCTATGAAGGGTTGGTGCTGCCTGGGATCAGATTTTTCCTCCTTAGGATGGTTGTCACCATGGATGCTGATGGTGGGAGCAGTTTCCCCTACAGGGACCTGGGAGAGCAGAACTCTTCCTGACAGAAAGAAGAGTGGAAATGAGATTTAAACAAAACCAGTTAATGGTGGTGAAGGGTCAGACGTGGGTGCTGTCAGCTTAGCTGTGCGCTGCTGGGTTTTGCTCATCTGTTCAGTGTCTGCACTCAGAGGGAGATGTGAAAACTGTGCAGTGCGCCTGTGCCCATGGAGGAACCAGGCTTTAGAGATTGTCAGAAGAGGTTTTGTTCCATTTCTGTCTTAAACAGTAACCACCTGTGAGCTGAAAGTGCCAGGAGCCCTCAGCTGGCAGCGCGAGTGGCCTCTGTGCCCAGCAGTGTGCAGCTGGGCTGGGTTGGTTCCTGCGTCTCCAATTGCAATTCAAGGCTCTCACTCATCCATAAATCTACTCACCAAGTGCTGCTCCTTGCAATCTGAGGACAGCACTCCGTGATGTCGCTCAGGGTGTCCTCAGGGCACCTGGCAGCACCCACTGCCCTGCCCTGCGCTTTGGCTGCTGGACTGCAGCAGGGTGAGGGTACAGCTGGTGGGCTTGTGGCAGCAGAGCGTTGGCAGCGCCCTGCCCTGGGACCAGGAGTGGATCTGCTCTTCGCTTCGTAGAACGCTTCCAGCCCGGTTTCCTTTAGTGAAGGCTCAATAGAGCAGCGCTGCCTTGCAGGGCAGAGACACCCCAGTGCCGCAGCGGGGGGCAGGGCTGGGCTCTGCTGTTCCGCGTCCTTTTTAAGGAGATATTTTCAGTGCTTAATTGCTGGATGAGAGCTGAGCCTCAATTACCTTCCAGCTCAGCCCTGGCCTCGTTTAACCTCCTGCTTCCAAAACCACGGAGCAACCGTGCTGCCCGGGGGGGATGGGCTGCCAAGGCTGCACCCCGGCGCTTTGCCGTAACGCACCGAGCCCTTTTTGGAGAAGCGAAATCCCGTGGGATGGGTGAGATCCGCAGCCGGGCGCAGCCTCACGAGCGGGCGCCGATTGCCCTCTCCTGGTCAGCCACCACCCTGCATGGATCTGCTCAGCCCGTGCCCAGCAGCGCCCGCCATCACCCGCTGCCGGCCCCGCAGCCCTGCTCGCTGCGGGACGCCTTGTCCCAAACGCTGGGGCAACGGCACGTAAAACAAAGCAGGTGCTCGGTTCGTTTTTGCAGGCCCTGCTCAGCTCTGAGCAAAGCGTTTATTGCCGCAGGCTGCCCGTCGGGGTGCTCGGCAGGGCCGTGCCTTGCGCTCCTCCATCCTTCCTTTCTTCCACCCTTTCCTTTTCTCCCGGTTGGCACAGCTCCTTCAAAACAGTCACCGACAAAGGAATGAATGGAGCTGTGCGTGGCAGAGGTCACACAACCCCCTGTTCCTCTGCCCTCATATCCCACACCTGTGCTGATTCCCCCCACCTGGGTCTCTCTGTGCATCTTTCATCTCACCCAATGCTCTGCACTGTGCTGACCCCTCCGTGCCCCCACATCAGATGGGTGAGAGCTGTGCACAGCTCCAGCTGCAGCCCGTGGAGCCCCACGCCCTCCTGCTGTCCCACTGCTGCCATTTGGCATCGTCCACCCACAAGTCTCCCTGCACTCCCAGCTCCAGGCAGGGCTTCTACTGGGAGAACTGGGGCGCACTGGGTGCAGCTGAGTCCTGCAGGAAAGGTAGGGAGGAGGCTGGCATGTGGCTGGACTGTACTGGGGTAATGCTGGCATGGGTGTTTTGTTATTGGGTGGAAAATGGAAGGGAGAAGCTCTGTTTTACAGAGAGCAGGTGTGGAGCTGGGCAGGCAGCAGGAGTCCCATTGGGGGCCTTCTGATGTCTGGGGGGCTCAGGGCTGGGGTTGTGGCCACGAGGAGTCGCAGAGCACCCAAACCACTGAAGCAAGGCAGTGCTGAGGACGCACCTTCCTCCACGGCGCGTACACCACAGCCCCTCTGCTCAGCCCCAGGTGCTCTGCATGCTGTCCCAGCTCGTCCTGCTGCGTGCTGCTCACTGTCCGATTGCGGGCTGCAAGGGCAGAGGGTTTGTCACACATCATCCCTGCCTGCATTTCATCCCCGTGCTCCCACAGATGCTGAGCGTGGGCCACCCATCACACCCAACCCTGAGCATCATTTTTTTTGCCTTTTTTAACCCTCCATGCTAACTGTAACCAGTTGCACAAAGCTCACTGGCTTTGTGGGAGGGATGCATGCCTCAGGCAGGTGTACGTTTGCCAAATGGGGCTTTGAACTTTCTGAAGTGATGTCTCTGCAGTTTAAAAGAGTAGCAGGGGTCTCTGTTGGGGATCTCTATGGAAGGACTCTATTGGGGGACTCAACTGGGGAGCTACATTGGTGATCTCTATGGGGGTCTTATTTGGGAGCTTACTTGAGGGCTCTACTGGAGATCCCTGTTGGGGAGCTCTACTGGAAGACTCTCTTGAAGGGATAAATCACAACCTGGTGTGCCTCTCTATGGGCCATGGTGGGTGCAACCAGCTCTGCCCCTGCTGGTGCTTCTCTGCACTGGGAAGCAAATAACAAAAAATCCCAGTTGGCTTGAAAAGATGGATTTCACAACAATATTGATAGCAAACTGTGCGTGCTTCCTATCCTTTGCAAATAGGTTTTGTCTTTAATTCGCTCTCTGCTCTGCTCAAAGATTTAGATTTTAATGGGGTGTTGATATATTCCTGTGATCCTTGTGCAGAGGACTCAGGAAAAATGACAGGTTGCTGTTGGAGCTGCTGTGGGTTTACCTGGCAGCTCTTTGTGTGCACAGCTTTAGGTCACTCGAGGATGGGGTTTGCATACCATAGAGATACAGAGCTGAATACGCCCTCTCCCTGTGCACGTGGTGCTGGATGAGCAGAGTGTCCTCAGAGCTGAGCTTTGTCACCATCCCCAGGATGCGCTGCGTCTTGGCTTTGAGACAACAGAGCGTTGGGAGTGAGAGCAGCGTTAGTGCTCTGAAATGTGTCACAGCCCTCCCCGAGGGGTTGTGAAATGATTCGAGAAGCAACGTGGCCCCTTCCATCCTGGAATAGACGTTTGATTCACGCCCTCCCAACCAACGCACCCAGCCACGGCCCCACAGCCACTCACCGTCCTTGAGCAGCGCCGTGCCGTTGGCACCGAGGAGGATGGAGGTGGAGTTGTTGGAGAGGCATCGGCCACCCCTGCAGAGAATGGGATGCTGGAGCACACACACAGAGGGAATGGGGTGGGAGGAAAGGACTGGGGATGGAGAGCGGGTGCCTCACACTGCCACGTGCTGGGTGATGAGCAGCTCCTGCCCGCTGCTGGGCTCCACGCGAAGGTGGCCGTGATCGATGAGCAGCAGCTCCAGGAGGTGCTGGGGGAGCTGGGCAGCCCCGGCCACGTACTGCCACAGCCCCAGCAGCTGTGGGAGAGGTGCAGGGTGGGGGGGGGCTCCCTTCCAACCCCCAGTGTGTAATCAATGAACATAAGGATGTTATAATTAAGAAATGCACTAGAAAGTTAGGCTAAACAGGTTATCATCCTAAAGAAAAATGGATGGAAAGCTTACCTTTACCCTGGGCTTGCTAAAAAGACTCCAAGAGGAGCAATCTCCAAAAGAGACCCTTCCCCTCTGGCAGTCAGCTCTTAAATGGGCTCTAGGAGAGGTGCAGCCAGGCTTCACCCCTCCCAGCAGCACAGAATTGCCTTCACCTGTGCTCCCAGGGCTGACTCAGTGCTCGCCTCAGGCGGTCAATCAGAGGTTCAGGCTGCGATTCAGCAGTTCCCACACCCCCTGCACCCAGACCCTCCTTACCCACGGCATCGTTGTGTTGGCCAGGCTCGGGGGTGCTGTGGGTTTGTGGGGAGCGGCAGCTGCAGACAGCAGAGCTGTGAGGATGAGAATGAGGGTGGTGGAGACGCTGGTTGGTGCCATGGCTGCTGGGGGGAGAAGAATGAGGGAAGCCGTTGTGCAGATGGACAGATGGACGCTGCTCCCTCAGCTGTTTGCACAGCAGGGCTGTGTGATGCAATGGCACTTTTCGGGGAAATGGCCCTGGTGGGAGCCAACCCAGCATGGTGCTATCAGTGGATGGAGGAGGGGAGTGGGGCAAAGCACTTCCTGCAAGGAAAGATGAAATCCGACCTAAATTTCCCAATTTCAGCCAATGTTGTTGCTCTGCAAATGAAGAACTGTGCTGCTTATTGGGATATGGAGCGTAGGGAGCTGCCAGCTCTGGGTCTGAGCCAAAATGGTGCTGGCAGGGCTGTTGGGGCTGCCCCAAGCAGGGCATGTGTGCTGGGGACTCATCCTGTGCCTGAGTCCCAGCTGGAACTGTCAGCTCCACCACTGCTTCTCCTCACAGGTTTTCCTTTGTGTCTGATCTAAACCTGAAGGGTAACCCCATTTATCCTGCTCTCGGTCATGGCCGTGGGGCTCAGTAGCTCCCGTCCTGCTCATGGCCCCCCACATCATCCCACACACCCACTAGATTGGACGCAGCAGTGCCTTGGTGCTGCTCATGGAAGCAAACCCAGGGGTTGGATCACTGCCTTCCTGAGCCACGGCCCATTTTGGTGAGTGTGAGCCATCCATCCTCAGGATTTTGTCTGATTTGGGGCAGGGATGGGGCCCAAAGCCAACGCCGGTGCTGCCCACCCACACCTATCCCACACGTGGGCACAATGAAGGCGAGCGCACTGCAGGCAGGTGTCACACACAGCTTTATTCCAGGTCCACGTGAGAACAGAAAAGCAGCAAATTCCTTCTGCGAAGGGCATCGTGAAGACGTTGGAAGACATAAATCCTCGTTGGGGCATCCCTGGCAGAGCAGGGCACAGGAGGGATGTGGGCTCACCCCTGCTGTGGCTCTGCGGTGGCTGTGCTGCCTTCGCCCACCTCCTCGCCAGCTGCAGGACAGGCATCCTGGGGAGGGGGCACAGAGCTCATTCCTGCACTGATTGCCCCCACGGGGAGCCCCGTGCCTGCAGGGCCGTACCTTGGGGGAGGTGATGAATGCCTCCTCCAGCTTGAAGCCGTGGCAGCGCAGTTGGGCTTCAAATTCCTCCAGCTGCTCTTTGGTCACCTTGGGAGTCCGTGCTGCAGGAAAAGTGGTGTAAAAGCAGGAAAAAGGGGAAAATGAAAGGGTCTGTGTGTGTTGGGGTGTTTTTTGCTGGCTCAGTGTGCTCACCTGAGAGGCTCAGGCCCACGTGGTTATCCTTGAAGTGCTTCAGGATGAACAGGTCCTTGTCGCTGTGTATCAGCTCAGCCATGGACGCCTCCTGCCCCTCCTCTGGAAGACATAGGGGCCGTGTTCCCGTAAGGCAGCGTGGTGGTGGTTGGGGGACGGGTGTCAGGAGGGGCAGCAGCTTTACCGTGCACCAACGTGGAGTTGTGCCGGAAGACGTGGATCTTGCTGGTGTTCCTCACCACACAGGTTTCGTTCCTGGGGAGGCAGAAAGTGAAACAGGACTCAAATCACTCCACGTACACCTAGAGGGTGTGCCGTCTCACACACACTGCAGCCTCCTCGGTGGGCTGGCCAGACCACTGCCACCTGTCTGTTCCCTGCCCACAGCTCAGGGGTGGCTCTGACCCGCTGCCTGGGAGCATCCCATCCCACCCCATCCCATCCCATCCCACCCCATCCCATCCCATCCCATCCCATCCCATCCCATCCCATCCCATCCCATCCCATCCCATCCCATCCCATCCCATCCCACCCCATCCTTACAGCCTCATGATTTCTGTCACGTTGAACTCGTCCTCATGCCTGCCAGGGAAGATGGTGTAGGTCGCGTACTTCAGCTCCTTCATCTCAGCCATGTGCGGGGGGTACTGGGAGGCACCCATGATGTACACCCAGTGCCCCAGCAGCTGCCGGCAGAGCAGAGCAGAGGGTCAGGGATTGCAGATGCATTCCAGACCCCAGTTTGGGTTTGAGGGCTCCCAGGGATGGAACGCAGCACTTCTTACCCTGTGCACTGTTGCATTGTCCATTTCGGCAGGGACGAGCGGGGCGCAGGTGGGGGAGTTGGTGGCGTGGGCACGCACCAACCCCATGGTGAGGGAGAGGACAGGGATGAGGAAGGCCAGCATTGCTCACAGGGGGGCTGTGGTGAGGCTGCAGTGTGGGTGGGATGCTGCTGCGCGCTGGCACTTATATACAGCCCTGCCACAGCCTGCGTGCTTATTTAACCACGGGGCTGTTTGCTCAGGCATGAAGCAATAGCAGTTGATGGGAACTAAACTGGCAAAAAGATTGCTTTCTTCCGGCAGAAAAGGTGAAAAAAGCTGTATTTCACCACCGGGGACTTTTGTTCTCAGAAAGCATAACTGATTGGGCGGGCGTTGGGCCGAGTGCCACGGGTTGGTTTGTGCAAGGTGCTGCAGGGCAGTGAGTGCCACTGAAGGCGTTGGTCCGTGTCCTGCAGCGCCTGGGGCAGACAAACACCGTCCTGGCACTGGTGGTGGCACAGCGTGTGTGGGGGCTGAGAGCTGTGGTTTGTTCTGCCCAGAGAAGGGGAGGAAGAAGGGGTCCTGGTGGCAGCACGCAGCTCCAAACAGGGATGGGGCCTGAGGGGATGGCATGGGGCTGCCAGGGGAGGGTGAGGAGGGGCTGGGAAAGGCTGCATCCCAGAGGGAGGTGAGCACAGCCCTGATGCTGGAGCTCAGGGAGTGTTGGGACCCCGCTCTCAGCCATAGGGTTGCACGGTGCTGTGTGGAGCCCTGGGTTGGACTCGGCGGTCCCTATGGGCGCCTCCAACTTGCAGTGTTCTGTGATCCTGTTCTGTGAATCCTCATGAGAGAGGAGAACTTGGGTTTCGGTCAGCTTGGAGCCATTGAGGTGTGATGCATGGTTCACCACTGAAAAGTTTTGTCTCTTCCTTTCTCCTTGCCTTCCTTCCCCCCTTTCCCCTTTCCCTTGTTCCCTTCCCCTTCCTTTTCTCCACACTGTGTCAGGATGGGGATGAGGATGAGGAACGTGCTGGTGGCCACGGTAGGGGCTCACCATCACTTGATTGGTGGTAAGATGGAGGATTTTGGGGCTCCCTTGGCCGCTCACAGCAGCACCCACACCCCCAGCAATAGGGCATCGCTGCTCCTCGCACCCGCAGCAAAAAAACCCCAAACAAACCAAACCAAAACAACCCAACCAAAAAAAACCCATAAAAGTCCCATATTGTTGCCTCAGTTTTAAATATTTATTTAAAGTCCAAATTAAAAAATAATTAAAAAAAAAAAAAAAAGAAAAAAAAAAAAAAAAAAAAGCATTAATGAGAACAAAGGGTAACTGCGGGCTGGAGCAAACACTGAACAGCGGGGTGAGGTATGTGAGATGGATCCTGTGAGCCTCAGCCGATGGCTGCTGGCCGTAGGAAGGGGGCGCACAAAGAGAGACACGCATCCATTTTCTTTTTTCTTTTTCTTTTTCTTTTTTTTTCCTCAAAAAAATAAAATCCATAAAAGTCCTTAGGAGACGTGAAAACCCCAAACGGGCGCTGAAGCATTTCCGATACAGTACAGCTCCGAGTACATCAATATCATTCCTTATATAGAATTAAAGATTACCATAATTATCCTCTTTAAAAAAAAAAAAAATCCTCCAAATTTACATACAGAGACTAAATTTCTACACAACTTAACAAAACACAACCCCTGCGAGCCCAGCCGTGCTCTGAAACAAGGCATCATGCTTTCAGATGTGGCAGAGGGGCCCGGACAGAAGGGGAGCAGGGCTGGGTTTTACACACGGGCTCAGAGCTGCATGCGTGGCTGTGGGTCAACGTCAATACAGCAAAGGAGCTCGGGGGCAGCTGAGCCCACGCAGCGAGGCTTCACCCTACAGCACTGCAGGTGAGCTGCAGCCCTGCTGCCCAAGCAGAGCAGTGAAGTGCTGGTTTAAAAACGAACAAACAAACAAACGAAAGGCAGATTGGCTTTCAGAATCGTCGCCTGAAAGGTGCACCTCGGACACTCCGAGTTGTTGCGCAGCACTGGCACCCATGGCAATGGAAAGATCCCTTTAAAGGTGTTCCTGTGATTTAGCTGTAGATCGTAACCTCCTCTTCCTAGAGAGGTGATCCTATGGGCTTTTTTTTTTGGGTCTGTGGCAAGCCACTGTAGCACCTTCACAACCTTAAATAAAATCATATATATAAAATAACACACTTTTTTAAGAGCACCAGAGATTTCACAGTGAGAGGTAGAAACAAATCAGACGAGCCCATCCTCTCTCTCTATTGTAGCACCAATCTCTTCCCCTCTCCTCCTTCCATTCCCCCCTTCCAGCTTTGGGACTCTCCCCCACCCCAACACCATGCACATGAGAAGGGACGTTGGTTCAACTCACCTATGGAAGGAGCAACTTTAGTTTTTTCCTTTTTTTTTTTTTTTCCTTTTTTTTCTTTTTGCTTTAAATAATATTTTTTATATATATATATATATATATTTTGTTTCTTCTAATATTGCACATCAAAATGGTTCCGGTGCGCAGAGCAGCCAGAGTCGCATTGCAGCTCCTCCTGGGAGAGCCCGGCCATCCAGGAGGCGCCCAGCTCTGCGAGGGAAGCCCTATCATCTCTGAATTACTTGTCAATGGGAAGAACATTTGGTAACTCGGGAACCAGGTAAGGCAAAAATAGGGGGGGAGGGTGGGGAAACCACATGCTGCGAGTTGCTTGAGGTTTCTCTCAACGTTTTCTTCTTTGGTCATGGAAAAAGCTTTGTATGTGGAACCGCGCGACACCTCGTCCCCTGATCCCTTTGCACCGGTCACGTCCCAGCTGACACCCGCTTCCCTACGTCCTTCGTTTTCCTCCTTTCAACAACCTGCTGAGTTCAGTAGATCACGGGTTGTTTGAGGCCTTGAGCCAAAGGCTAGAGCAAGAGTTGACCCAAAAGATACAGCCCAGCTGTCCTTGCTGCAGAGACCCTGTGTAAAGACATAGGCCAGAAGTGGGGTCAAAGCCTTGGAGCCCGGGTTGATGGCATTGCTCAAAGGAAGCACACGGGGCCGACCTCGAGGTGATATTGCTTTCCTGGCTCGGATGGGGGAAGGTTGTAGATGTTGACGATCGGCAGCTGCTGGGTGTCCTGCGTCCGAAAGGAAAAGAGAGTCCGATGCCAGCGTCCATCCTTGATCTGCACAGGGGGGAGGGAAAGACAGACAGAGCTGCTTAGCTGTGGGACAGATCTTACAATCAGACCATTACTGAGGTTGGAAAAGACCTCTAAGAAGTCCAACCACCGACTCATCCCTACCCGCTATGCCCACTGGCACAGAATCACAAAATCACAGAATGGCCTGGGTTGGAAGGGACCTCAAGGATCATGAGCCTCCAACCCCCCCCCACCACAGGCAGGGCCACCAACCTCCACTGACACGTCCCTCACTGTCACATCTACACAGTTCTCCAGGGATGGTGATCCCACCACTCACTGGGCAGTCTGTGCCACTGCTCTTTCTGAGAAGAAATTCTTCCTAATATCCAATGCAAACCTCCCCTGGCTCACCTTGGGGCTGTTCCCTCTTGCTGCAGATGATCAGTTTCACTGTGCCATACGACTGAAAAGCCCTGAGTAAGCCTAGTTCAGAAAAGCATTCTGGGGAACACTTTCTCCTGGCTGAGTTGAAGGTAACACCTTGAAATAGCATCACGGAAGAGGTAACCTAGACCCTTCTCCCCCTTTTTTGGAGGTGGCCACGGAATAAAAAGCACTGGCACAATCTCAGCCTTGCTGTGTGTGCTGGGTGGGTTCAGCCTGGCATTTCTCTCCTCTCTTTGGGCACAACGTACCTTGCAATCATCAGCTGCCACCTCCGGCTTGAGCTTCCCCTCTGCCTCAAACATTTGCCCGTTCCACGCCTTGAAGCGCACGGCTTTCTGCGAAGGTTTCTCAGCAGAGCCCTCCCTCCAGACAGAGGTGTTCAGGCAGTGGATGGTGATGTGCTGCACCACCTCAGAGCTCAGCAGGCGCAGGAAGTTCATCTGGACTCTGCCGATGTCAAAATCCAGCTGTGAAGGTGACAGGGGTGTTAGCAAGGCTGGGTGAGAGAACGGCCCTTCAGTGCAAGGGCAGAGGAGTTCCCTGCACTCTGTGAGTGGCCACGCATGGATGCCCAAGCCCAGAACGGGTTCTGGTGTCAGTATGGGCAAGAAGACCCAACACAAAGTCGAGCTTGATTGTAGTCATGAGGAGGCAGCAGGCCCTTTATTTTTTGCAATAAACACGCAGGCCCTTAAGCAGGAGGAAAATGATGAGTGTTCTGAACGTGCTCTGGGCACTGCAGATGGACCCAGATATTGCTAGGGGTATTTTTTGTTACAGGTACTTTCCCTGAGAAAAATCCTGTGGCGTTCACTTTGGTGGACACTTGTGTATTTAAGCTGACCTCAATTTTTCAGGCAGTAGAAAATAAACGGCAAGAGTGACCTGAACATAAATTAATCCAACAAAGCCTTTGGGAGCAGCATGTTTGCTAAATTACCGGCCTCTGTTAAGGTTATGGGTTAATTAAACACTACTGGAAACGTACTGCTCTATCTTGCAAAGAGTCAACAACACCATCTTAGGTGTATTTTTTAACCTCATGAGAGCAGTGCTGAAGGGCAGCAGCAGAGCTGTGCTTACTGCCACCAGGAAAAGTGCTGTTACAGTGGTCACCGTCCTGAGCTCTGGCAGAACTCAGCCGTGGGTAAACATTTCATGATGTGTGTGTGGGAAATGCTGCACAGGAGGAGCTGTGTGTACCTTGGAGACCGTGATGGGGCTGAGACACGTCTGTCCACCATTGGTGAAGTTGCAGATGACTTGTATGGTGTCTGAGGAGCAGCCGAGATTTGGGTCGATCCAGTAGGTACCTGAGGAAAGGGAGGATGTGGAGATTAATGAGAACACTCAGTCTTCTCTGTGCATAAGCAACGACAAGCTTTGGTTTCTGCATGACTGCCCTCAGCCCGGGGAGGCCATTTGGGGCCATGTAAAATGGTCCTAGGGAGGGATACAGCCTTCTTGTACTCAAGGCTTCCTACCATCCTTCATCTTCTGTTCACAGTTCATGAGGTCTCGGCAGATGCGTGCGGGGTTTTCCTTGGTGCCCAGGGGTCTCTTGATGCTCTGAATGAGGTTGCTGAGGTAGTGTAGAGTCTTAAAGATCTCCCCTCCATGGTCCAGCATGAGAAGGTCTGGATGTTGGTAACCCTGGAATGAAAAGGAGGCACCTGGTACTGTAGCCATTGAGGGTCTGCATGGGGAACTGGTGAAATGCTGGCAAAGTCATGAAGTTTGGAGCTTCAGAAACAAGGAACGCAGCAGAATCACACCCTTTAACCTGGTACTCCACAAAAACAGCAGACAAATTGAAGCTTTGCATATAGAAACTTCAGGCAGACAGAAACTTCAAGCAGACAGTGACCATCCCCAGCCTACAGCCTCAGCAGAGGCCCGGCAGTTTGACAGAAGCCCCATACCTCTGTCTTGAGCGCCGTGTTGGAGTCCATCAGTGTCTGGAAGGCGGCCCCAAAGCCATCTTGTTGCTAGCGTGGGGCAAAACAGACTGTGAGAAGCTGAGCATGGCCTGATGCAAGCAAATGCTGCTTGCTCTAGGGTTGTGATTCAAGCCTTGCTCTGCTAATGCAGCTCTTGCTGGACCTGAACGTATGTTTTCAAGGTCCCTGCAGCGCCCGCCTCTGCACGACTTACTGCCATCATTAACAAATGAACAGAAAACAGCAACTTACAAACGAAGCTGAAATTCCAGGCGGTCCCTAGAAATCAAAGCAAAAAAGGGGCATCAGCTGGAATGCTGGGCAGCCACTGCTGCAAAGATATTCATTGATGTCCTTCTGAAACCCTCTCTCCCCTGGGGTCCCTCGATGCAGAAGAGTGAGACAGGCAACAATGCTGTCTCTATAAGATATTTGGAGATGGTTTGGACCAAAGCACGAGAAACACTGGTCCATTCACACACATGCATTTTTGCATACGGGGAACGGGGCTAAGCTGTAATTTTCAGTGAGTGAGCAGGCCCTCTGGAGGGTATCACTGCAGTAATTGTAGCTTGTTTCAATAATGTCTTTGAACTCTTTCCATGTATACTTACCGGAGGGCCAGGCTGTCCTCGTGGGCCTGGAGGACCCTAAAGACAGAGTGGCATCAGTCAGTGAAATGCTTTCAGTTTGTATTTCCACTCCTTGTCACCAGAACTGAGTCTGTTCCCTGCTGAAATCCCCCCCATTTTTGGTGTCCCATAACATCCTCTCCCCCAAACACTTCAGAAGACTGCCCTGTTTCCTCCGTCTCCCACCTCTGGGTGCACCTCTCTGCACCTGGTTCAGTCCTGCTGTGTCTCTTGTTCCCAGCCCTTCATTCTTTAAGCATCATGTTCTCTGTGTTAACAGTCACTTCCCCTCCAGCTTTATATTTGCTAGAAGTAACTGTTTTATTTAAATAAGAGATATTAGAAAAAGTGATTTAAAGACTCACCCTTGGGCCCTGAAACCCCTGTAGGGAAACAAACAAACAAACAAACAAGGGAAGAAGCAGTCAGAAGATGTTCAATTCTAGAAAGAAATCTCTCAGTATGACCACGTGCAGGAATGACCCCTGGTCATGCAATCTGGTGCCAAGATGGCACCTCGGTTCTTGTGGTACCAAGGAGGATGAGCAATATGTACCCAGTGTAGATGTGAGCACCCTGCCCACAGAGGAACCCAGTGCCCAAGAACAGAGCTCCCTCCCAGGCAAGGAGCTCACTTACCATGTCCCCACGGCTGCCTTTGTCCCCCTTCGGCCCCTGTGAAAGTACACAAGATGGCTGTTAGTGACTGCAAGCTGTGCTTCTGGATGCTGTGCTGCTCAGAAGCACCTTGCAAGGACCCAGCGGGACTGGGCTCATCTCCCTGGGTTTCCTCTCTGCCAACTCTGCCTCTTTGTGCTGAGCTCTACGTGACTTCATGCTCACATTGTTATGAAGTCCTGACCTGAACTGTAGTCTGTGGCATTTGGAGGCAGGCAGAGATTTTCAGCACTTCCCTGAATCCAACTGTGTCCAGTTTAGCACATTCATCAGATTATTTTTTTATTCTTCCCCTGGGGGCTCCAATGCTGAGTTCTTTGGCAAATCCAGTGACTTGCTTAAAAAAACTGAAATCACAGTCTTGTCTTCCAGTCTGATCCCATCTATCTATCTCAAAACTTGCACTTCAATACAGATGTTCCTCACTTCTAAGCTAATAATCCCAACTACACATGCAGCTGGAACTTAACTAACCCTTAAGCTGCTCATCTTAAAGACCATTTTGTTCCCGTCATCACAGAAGGACTTGGGATTTACTGATGCTGGCCTCAGGCATGCTGGATCTCAAACACTGCCATCTAAAATCTACAGGCAGAAGAAAAGGCAGATGCTCACCAGGCTTCCCGTGGGACCCAGAATGCCAAGCGGACCAATAATTCCTTCTTTTCCCTGGAAAAGACAAGCTGTGCATCAACCACCACTTGGGGATGGATGGACACTGCAACTCTTTGCTGCTTCTCAGCAGCACGATCACGGTGCTTTCTGTGGCTGAAATAAAACACAGGTCCACAGACACAAGCCCTCACAGTGTGGTTGTCACAGCCCATGTGAGGCCTCAGAAATTCCAGAAACAGAAGGATTTTGGTGTAGCTGGAGTGATCTGCAGCAGTCCTTATAGAGGCAGAAGAGGCCCATGATCACACAGAAGATGCAGATGTGCTCTGGCAGCACTATGGCCACAGATTAATGGCAAGGCACCCCTCAAACCAGACTATCGTGCTCATTATGGGGGTCTGCAGCCTTACAGGTACACATGATGGAGGAAGCAAGAAAATCTTTCCAAACCAAACATATGGAAAAACCACTCACCATGAGGCCAGGTGGGCCACGTGGTCCCTGAATGCCTTTGAAACCGGGGTCTCCTGGTGGTCCCTGCAAGCAAAAACGAGGTGTCAGAGCCCATTAATAAATGTACCCCACGTTGATGCTCTGGCTTACAGCTCTAGTATATGGGAATTGCAAGGTCCCATTCAAAACATTCTTTTCCCACTCCTGTTTTGCAAGCCCTTTACTTTCTACAGAAAACAGTCCGGTTCCCTTTCCCCATCAAAATTGTATTTTGGTCAAATGAGCCCAAGTTTCCAGTCAAGTCTCTCAACTGATGATTAGTGTTGGAGAAATGAACTCGTGCCAGTGAGCGATGTGGCTTAGTGGGCATGGTGGTGATGGGTTGATGGTTGGTGATTTTAGTGGTCTTTTCCAAGGTTACTGATCCTATGATTCTATGATTGAAATATGTTCAGGTGGGGGGGGGTCTGTAGGACATCCATTTTCCATCTACAGTGTACCCACTTCAATGGAAATAGGTTTTATCAGAGCATATGTAAATGCATACCTGAGGATTATTTGAAGATACATAAACTTCATAAAGTTGGAATCACAATTGGGTTTCAGTAGTTTCTGCAGAGCTACTGCCAAATAATTTTCAATAGGCATTGCAGTGTCTCCTCCCAGCAAACAGACTGGGAAGCCAACTGGTCACCAGGTCCCCTCTTACCTTTGGCCCAAAGATGCCCGCAATCCCTGGGAATCCTGCCTCCCCAAAGTCTCCCTGGAAATAACAGCCAAGACAAACACAAGAACAAAGAACAGCAGTGAGTTCGTGCTGAACCGGTCACCGAAGACACGCCAAGATTTCAGCAGCTTCAGAGAGCGAGAAATCCATCAGTATTCCTCAGCAGGACTGATAAGAAAGAAGTATGAGAGAGCTCTGAGGAAGGCATCACACAAACACAGGGTGGAAGCAGCTCCAGAACATCTCACAGACTAAACCCTTCTGCCCCCAAGATGAGAGGCACACCTACAATATTTCTAGCACATGCTTGGCTAGCTTGGAGGGCTTGGAGCACAGTCAGCAGAAGCAGGATGAAGAGCTTCTACTCTGAGATTGACCCTAAAGTCCATGCTCCAATCCCATTAAAATGAGCACTTATTTTATTTCCAATACCAACTGGACTGCCCTATGAAGGACAATTTCAAATGATGCTTATTGGTGCTGTCCAATGGAGTGTGTGTTCCTACAACATCACCTCCCATTTAAAACCATGAAAACCATACAAATCCCAATTCTTTTCCTACACAACACTGCAGGATTTTGTTGTTGTTGTTGTTGGTCCTTAGGAAAAACAAAATATTTGCATGACCATCAAGCTTGGATTAGCATGCAGCCTGCAGTCTGAGAATAAAGAGAAAACACTGGGTAGCACGTCCTTGCATAAACACCCTCATTTTACCACGTTTAAGATGCACGTCCTGTGAGATTTCTGGGTTTCTCAGCTATCAAAATGCAAAGTGATGCAACACTGAAAAAAATGGGACGGAAACATTGGCCAGATGATTCATTTACAGTCACAGGAACACAAGAGATGGAAAAGGCTCCTTTGGCCTCTCAGCTGGACTATGTGACCCATGCTGGATTGCACATTATGGGATGTTTTACAGCGTCTTGTTCAGCCCAGTTGTAAATGACTCAAGTGATGGGGTTTCCACTGCCTCTATTACAGGGCTATTCCAGAGTTAATCTACAGCCCTTACTGTTAGGAAGCTTTTTCCTGCCATGACAATGAGAAGCTGCTTGGCAAGAAAGGGCTTAGTTGGACTTGGTGGAGTGTTAGAAACTTTCCAAGCACACAACGTGGTTTAACTGCCCATTTATGCATCCTGGAAAGGAAACAGGCTACTAAGAGAAGGACTACAGTCTTTCCTGTGTTACAAGAACCAACAAGCCTTCTTTCTGGAGGAATTCAGAACAGAAGTGAGAAGTCAGAAAGGTTTTTAGAGCAATCTAAATGCCAGAGAGTCACCTTTTTTGAGGGGACCTGGTCAATACTGATGCAGCAAAGCAGGCAACAGTAAAACTGGGCAAGGGAACTTGCCATGTGCAGGAACACGAGGCAAAACAATGGTGTTGGTGGTTACCTCTCCGTGGCTGGAATTCTGCTGCCAAACGCTGGGCAATCCCACCAGCACAATGAAAAAGCACAAAGAGTTTGGAGCCTGCCCTGGAAGTGGGTATGCTCCTCCCCCAGCATGCTCTGAACCCACAGGTCCACCACCCTCAAACCTTCGTGGTGATGCCTACATCTCCTGGGTGTCCCTATGGAGCTGCAGCCCCTTCCGCACCTTTGGCATGGTTTGCAATGGATGGGTCATTTCCCATGGTAGGACCACCAGCACACGTGGTGGCCATACCAAAACAACAGGCATGAGGGTGCTGGGAGCAGTCACAGTGTTTTGGGGAACGCAGGCTGCTTAGGGGTCCCTGCCAGGTGCTACTCACAGGCTGGCCTTTGGCTCCTGGATCGCCAGGGCTCCCTGGGAGGCCCATTCCTCCCACTGATCCTCGCTTCCCTGTTTGGCCGGTCTGTCCAGGCAATCCTCTTTCACCCTAAAAATAACAGAATTCAAGTAATTCCAAAGGACGGGAGCTAAATATAACAACGTTCAGCTGAAATAGCCATAGATGGAAAGCTGGGAAAAAGTGGTGCATCGGGATGAGGAATGTGGCTCCATTATGAGATGCCTCAGGTCTGCAGGGGCAGATGGGTGCAGGATGGTGGCATGGCAGCAAAGGTAGTGGGTGCCCGGGATGGTTGAGCAGGAGGACAAGGGGCAACCGATCTCCCAAGAGGGTGAGTGCGGCATAATTCCACAAGGACCTCTCTGGTCACTCCTGGAAGCAGCTTGTTATTCTACCGAAGGCAGCTGGAGGGCAGCAAGGGACAGTTTTAAGAGTGATGTGCTATAGGAGTTTAAATCAGTCCTGATAGCCTCTCCAAACCCCGCTGGAGTTTTCCTAATTGCAGCCTCTTTTTACAAATGGCTGAATTGCTGTTGGAATGGTTAGACCCTGCGGCCCACCTGGACCACTGCAGGGAGCAGTAAGAAACCCCACTGTCGTTAAAGCAGCTTTTCCCTGCTTCCACCTAAGGCAGTGCCTGAGTCACACTGGTTCCAGCAATCCCAGCATGATAAATACATGACAGAAACAAGCTGCACAATTTTCCTGCACCATCCAGGCTTTGCAAGGCAGCAGCTGAAGGGCATCCACGCTTCAATGCTCATTGTGGGTCTCCTACAGGCAGGCTGCAGCAGATCCCTTGCAGCTTCTCTAAAGTCACATTTCTTTATCCAGGTTTCTAATGAAAGGAGTTACGGCGTTCACAATGTGGGTACAGATATTTGTACGTTCCTGAGCTGGGAGAACTTTGACAAAGACAGAAAGCTGAGATGTTCAGCTGATGTGGATGGATGGATGGATGGATGGGTGGATGGGTGGATGGATGGAAGGATGGATGGATGGATGG